ACCCTAACCCTAACCCTAATACCTCTACTTGCAAGTTTTACCAACGATCTTACATATTTTCTCTTGAGTAAGTGTCGGTGCCATCCGAATTCCTCAATATTTGGTCAAAATTTAACGAAATCGTGTTCTTGAATGATGCAAAAATGTGGCCTGGATTAATTGCAAATATAGAATATTCAGAGAAGTTTCTACATACGCAGTCACGTCTTCCTGGGTCTGGCTGAAATAGCTTGATTGCAATTCATGGCCCATTCTTGCTTTAAAAAAGACTGCTACTTTCGAGACAAAACTCTTGGCCAAACTTGTCAAGGTTTAAAAAGTCTTTCAAGGATTGCGAAGCTTTTTCTGACCATTTCATCAAGATTTGTAAGTGCACACCGAAGGCGCCTAAAAAAATAGACTAAGCGAAAATTCCTAAAGCCATGCATTTGGGCAAGCTAGTCTCTAAAGCACTTTTGTTTTTAACTTTGCGTATTCTTTAGTCAGGTTGGCCAGTTCAATTTTTACGGCCTAGAGTCGCCTGAATATGAATAGGAAAACATATTTCTGGCGCAGCTACTTAATCTTGCAGGTGATAATCTTGGAGGTTGATGACAGGATATAAGGCTGTACCAACTTTTATGGTTAATCCTTAAAGGCGGCGACATAAAAATTTATATAATTGAAACATAATATTAAATCTTGAAAACCAAATTTCACTATTCCTTCCAAAAATGCATAAAACATGAGATTGTTACCACAACTGGGTTGACTGGTCTGCCAGGAATCTGTCAAAGCTTATCCTCATTAGAGACACAGACTGGAATCGTAAACCACAAGAAATACATCAACAGTTTATAAATAAGTATTCCATTTTCATCTCAGAATGGAATCAGTCTGAAGAAAGATATTTCGTGTGCTGCTAACCTGGAAGATGTGATGTCAGTGCGAAAGGGTGCGATGAACAGATCTGGAGAGAATATAATCATAATTCTACGCTTAATCCAACTTAGACAACCGTGTTTAGGGTGATTGGTATTTTCGTTGAGAATTCTGATTAAAATCATACTTTCTGGTCATCTGTGTTTCAACAGAGAGGCTACTTTCTTTCATTTAAGTAGTCATCTCTCCGGAATTATTAAAGCGTACTGATGGCTAAAAACGGGTGAATAATAGTCGAACACGACAATACACAAGAAAACATACAGACACACCTAAGTATATGTTTATAGATTGACTTATGATACAAACCAATCAAATTACTCCATACCCAAAAAATATTCCGAGTTGTAGTACATCTGCGTGCATAGGCATAAGCCGGTTTGAGTTTGTTTGACCAGTATAGTTGATTTGGTCCTAGAAATGGTACACTGCTCTGATGATGCTCATCTATGGGCATTAGAGACGATCGCTCAAAGCATTTTCGAGGTAAATTTCAGTCTAAAACTCTCTAAAATAGTTCAGGACTTCTGGTGAGATCAGCCATACGCGTATATTTTTAGCATGCACTTTCACTCAAAATAGAATCGTGGTCAACAAGTTGCTAATTTCATTCAGCCTACCCGCAGTGAACTGTATGATAAATTTATTAGTCTTTAATTGGCCCGACAACTTTTTTTGTTCAACTTGTGTATAAACCGTGGAGTATTGCAGATAAACACAGTAGATAATATTTTCCAAGTCATTTTTACTACATTTCTTCTCAACCCTAAATGTAAACGGGAATTTGAGATACAATTCAATGAACTCGTTAAAATGCAAATTGTCGAAAATAGCCGCTGCGCCTATTAAGTCAGACGTCTAATGCTTAAACAGTATCCTAAGATGGACCAAGATAATGAGGATAAAATCATAAATAAATAAATATATATATATATATATATATATATATATATATATGAAAAATAGATAAATAAGTAGAAAAATTGATTGATTGATTGACAAAATCTGCATAAGCACTTACAATCAATGAAAACCCATGACTCTGAGAGATGAAACGAAGGCTTGTATCCTCGCGGTTCCGACGTAGCCTTTGAAGGAGACTCCTCTAAAACCGTGCGCCCAGCAGAAGAAAGCCTCACAGAAGAGCCGGTATCCAAGGCATCCGAGTGTTTTAACCTCAGCTCATTGATCTGCTTGCGCAGACTCGTGAGACGGGCATCGGGGGCCGAGTAAACGACTGAGAAATAGCGAGCTGAATTGGATGGATGATGGAAAGAGGAAAAAGTGAAAAATGGTAAGCGTTGAAATTCAACCGAAACAGCTTGAATGTGATGAAGATGGGCAAAAAGCTTAAAGAAAAACTTTGATATAAACTTTGATCGGTTAAACACAAGACTGAACCTCTCAATGCGATTGAAGTGCATTTAGTCTTGCCCCCAAAAAAAGTTTTCCATTCCGATCTGACGGCAACTTCAACCCTACATCACTCTTTTATCCGCATCTAAAACGCGATTTAAAACGAGCAAACTCGTATTTATGCTTTAGGGTTTGTTAGTCGATTTCCAGATCCTCAATAAATCTGAATATTGACCATCAATTCTGGCAGTCCCTTACGTGTTTGAGGGTTGCCAGGGTTCTTTTTTCTGATCTACCGATAGTCTGGGAATCTAGGGACTATAAACACATTGGATGAGCAATTTATACTTCTACAGACTCGCTGGATCACTAGGAGAAATAGGCAATCGTAGCCCAATTCAGAGAGATAAAATATACAAGAATAAGATGACGGAGTAAAATAAGTTGATCTATTTAAAGACTATTTTGTATGGTTGCAGCAAAGCAGCACAATAACAGAAATTAAAAAAACCAGCCAAGACATGAAGAGCTGTCACGTGTTGTCTCAGAATGTCAGTTTATAACTGGATTTACATTAAGATTGGATGGGATACGATCTCCGATCAACTGCATTTTTCCCATTTACTGAGATTCAACATTTCTACTCAAAACGAAAGTGGTACATTTTTTCGTGAATGATACCGTTTTCTTTCTGACGATGTCATTAAATGACAGGAATACAGATGGGAAGTGATGTAAGATCTACTTATGCCGAACTAATAGGCATAGGGAGGAAGCGGAGATATCAGCCGGGCAGGGTATCATTTTTACAACGAATCTAAAAGTAAAATTGAAGAAAAAATCGTCTATTCATTTCTACATGTCATGAATTATTTTTATGAGGTATAGAGTGATTTAGTTGGATTAGGCCATATGCAAAGGGTGAAGCATGTGCACATGTTTGCACATGTGTATCTGTGTGTAAGTGGACTCATATTTATGCTCTTGATTGTTAAGGTTGAGTAACCCTTTAATTTGGCTCTCATTCGGATTGCGTAATTCTGGACACAAATTTGGTCAAGATAATGAACACTTTGTTTGCATTCGGAAGTACCAAAAGCAGGATGATACTCAGAACCATGAGCATCAAAGACTAGTTGCATCGTCTCTATTGTCTAGGCAACTCAACACCTTCGATAAAGTTAACACTATCATTCAGGAAATATATTTGACCTATTTCATTTAAGGTGACTAAGGACGAGTTGTTTAATTTTCCCACATTTATATGAATATGTCTGACGCCTCCAGTGAATTTCACACAGTTCAACGTGGACTGGAGTTTCGACTTCACATATCTCTTATCAACACCCCAAGTGAGAGTTGAACCATAATAGTGCAGCGTGTAATCTTGACACACTAACCGGTACAACACACTGCCACGAATTGCCTTGGGTCATAGGGCAAATGTGAATTTCCATCTCGCATTCTGTGGTGGGATTTTCAATAAAGCAGAGTTATATTTCCTGAAACAATCGACAAAATTACATATTCGAAGGTATGAAGACCAAGATGGTGTGCCTTTTTGTGTGGTCACACATTGGACCTAATCAAAGCAGGCAGTAGCACAACATTTGTGGGGCATAGAAAACCATAGACTTGGTATTACTAAGAGGCTTGAGCCTCGAATTAGTCACCCAGACGTAGAGGAGGTCTAATAACGCCTCACACACAGATGGGGTGGCAGGGGTCGAGTGAAATATGTGAATTGCATTCACACGGGGCAAGAGAGAGACTGTGATAAGACCTATGGGAGGAAGACTGTGTGACAATATGGCAGAATGTGATCAACATTCCTAGCACAAGTGGGAAATGTGAAGGGTTTTCATGAATACCACAACTGTTTAGCACATGTTTAGTCAAAGC